CTGTAGAACCTGGATTTGAATTCAAGCACTCTTGAGCATAACCACTAAGTCTTTTGAACTGAATCTCATACCCAATATCCAACTTCTTCAGTATCCCTGTTATTGCCCTTTGACACATACTAACAGTTACATTCAAGTTCATTTCAGATTTTATGTCTCTGCTCAACTCTGAATATCCAATAGTTGGATGTTGCCTCACCTTCTCTGCAAATTTCCACTCCAACCATTTCTGACTAACTATCCCTAAGGTAAATCGGTTGTTGTATTTATGTTCCAACATAAGTGCCTCCACCTGAAAACACCTTGTTCTTTCTTCCCACCCTACACTAACATGAAAACCACAACTCTTTCCTAAACACTCAACCCTAACATACTTTAATTGATTCATTTTTCCAAAACATATCCCTTTTTGTGTGTACAGCATAACTAATCATAGCCAGCTTGAATTGCACATTGTCATCAAAGTACATACCAATTTCAATAAATGGTGGATATGATTTTGGGTTGAACTTGGGGTGCTTATCGTTGTACTTTCATTGCACCTCATTCCCTTTATCATTTTCTAACTCTTCTTGAACTGTTGGGGGATCTTCTGAGTCATAATACACAGAATTTGCCTCATCTCCTAAGAGATTTTCAGATGTTGGCACATAAGGTGGTATTAGTGCATCATCTACTTTGATTTTCCTTTTTTCTCCTATCCCCCTATTAGTAATCTGCTCACTGCCACCACTAATCTACTCACTACCACTAGTAATCTAATCACTACCAATGCTGAAATCAGTCCCCTCCTCAGTGTAGTAGTCACTCCCAAGTCCTGAACCTGACTCACCTTCACTCAGATCTTCCTCACCCCCAAATTCTTCATCATCACCCCCAAATTCTGCTTGCCCACCCCCTAAATCTGCCTCCTTACACCCTCCCCCCCCCCCCCCAATTCTGCCTCCTCACCCCTTAAATCTACATCTTCATCCTCAGCTTGAACTGCACTCCCCGCTTCAGGCCCAGGTAAACATAAATCAACCACATCAGGTTCATCTATCACATGTTCAACATAAATCTCACACCTTTTATTCTCCCTAGCAATCTGAGCTAAGTGGAGACTAGTAGCATCATTATGAAGTAGCTTTAAAGTTGTGAAGGGTTCAGTGGTCAACTTATATGTCAGTGAGGATATTTTTCTATATTTTTGGTCTGCTATATACTTCACTAAGTGGGGATAACAAATTAAGTCAGGGTCTAGACACACTACTATTGTCTCACCATTCACATATTTTAACCTAGGTTTTTGATGAAATTACCACCATGATGGATAATTACTTCCACACTTTCGTTCATCCTGACAAAAAATCTATACTGTATATTCATATTTTTAAACTATAGATTCATAATTTTTATATTGTAAATTCATAAAATCTATGCAGTAGATTCATAATTACTATACTGCATATTCATAATATCTGTACTGTAGATTCATAATTTCTGTACTGTAGATTCATAAATTCTAAACTGTATAGTCATCAAATTATGAACATATAGTTCTGTGATTTGTGAATACAGAGTTCAACAATTAGGATTATAAACATCGAAAATTATGAACATAGTGTTCTATAATTGTGAATATAGAGTTCAATATGAATATGAAATTCAAAAATTATGCATATATAACTTTATAATTATGAACATATAGTTTAGTAATTATGAACATAGAACAATGTGCACCACACTGCATAATTTGCCTTGGTTGTGTGCTTGGACTAACTACTCCTTTGCTCCGAGTCTATCTAGTATCGGCCCATTCATGCAAGCCCAACCATACATATATTAGAGCTTTAACTAACCTACTAGGGCAAATTATATCGTGCACCGGGGTGCACAATGCATTGTGCGCCTTAAGAGTTATGTGTATTATGTTGAGAGTTTATGTGTATCATATTGAGAATTTGTGTAGTATGTTAAGAGTTTATGTGTATTATGTTAAGAGTTTATGTATATTATATATTATGTTAAGATTATGTGCATTATGTTAGGAGTTTATGTGTATTCTACTATACAATTATGTACATGTGAAACATGGGATTTTTAGGGCGCATAAATTGTGCGCCCTGGTGCACGATATAACAATTGACCTACTACGGAAAATTTTTACTGTGGACCATAGTCTAAATTCTAAAACAGTGTCATTTCTTTTAATGAAAAGAAACAACACCCGTTCTGTGTAATTAATTCTGTTTGTATAACATATTCAGTTTCATTTTATATAGATTGTAGTTTCATTTCAGCACAATTAAAGTTTCAATTTGTTTCAACTACAATTTCATTTGATATTATACATACAGTAGTCTTGTTACATTGCGACATGTTATTGAATTTCATTGTATACACATTGTAATTTTATTACAACACTACTAAATTATAATTCTAATTCAACTATGGTTTCATTAGGCAATATACACTCAAATATGTGAAACTGTTATTCAATTTTTTTTTGAGTACTTTAGTTTCATTTTATATACACTGTAATTTCATTACAACACAACTAAAGTATCATTTTGATATAACTACAGTTTCATTTGACAATATACATTCAATATGTGAGACATGTTATTTTTTTTTTTATACATACTATAGTTTCATTTCAGCACAACTAAAGTATCATTTCAATTCAATTACAGTTTTATTTGATAATATAAACACAATATGTAAGACAAGTTATTCAGTTTCATTTTAAATACATTGTAATTTTATTTTGTTCTGAACACACCAAAAATACCAAATTCGTTAAATATATTGTCCACAGAGCTGTGTAGACTGCATCCACCGTGTAACAATCCACCTACTACCCCATCAATCTTCAATTAAGAAAATATGTTTACCCAACACTTATTTTCAAAATTCTATATTTTTCCTCTAAACAAATTTTAAAATTTTACAATTAATAAACACACCCCACATGTTTTCTTAGTTAATTAATTTCACATCTTATCTCTTGAAACAAACATGAAACATGGATCAAACTATGAAAGGGACATTTCCCCGGCAAATTATGCTCTGGACCCGTGTCCACAATGAATTGTGGACACGTGCCCAAAACGATGTCGTTTTTCAAAAAAACGCGTCATTTAGTTAAAAAAAAAAAAAAAAAAAATCACGCGTGTTTTGTCGTTAACGGCGTTTTTTTTTTTTTTTTTTTTGGATTATGAATGTACAGTTATGTCGTTATGAATGTACAGTTATGCCGTTATGAATGTACAGTTATGCAATTATGAAATTATGAACACAGAGCTCTAACATTATGAACTTACAATTATGAACATATAGTGATAAAATTATGACCATGGAGCTTTAAAATTGTGAATATAGAGCTTCGAAGATTATGAATGTACAGTTATGGAGTTATTAATGTACAGTTATGGAGTTATGAATGTATAGTTATGGAGTTATGAATCTACAGTTATGGAGTTATGAATCTACAGTTATGAGATTATGAATCTACAGTTATGGAATTATGAATGTACAGTTATTGATCGAATTATGAACAAAGAGCTCTGACATTATGAACTTACAATTATGAACATATAGTGATAAAATTATGAACATAGAGCTCTAAAATTGTGAACATAGAGCTTCGAAAATTATGAATGTACAATTATGGAGTTATGAATGTACAGTTATGGAGTTATGAATGTACAGTTATAGAGCTATGAACGTACAATTATGGAGTTATGAATGTACAGTTATTAACATATAGTAATAAAATTATGAATATATACTCCTATAACGAAGCGGTCTGAATTTTTTTTTTAAAAAAAAAAAGAAAAAAAAAAAAGAGAAAAAGAGATAACAGTGCCGTTAGGCCCTGTTACTCATGCTGGACACGGGTCCATAGCATAACGATTGCATTTCCCCAATCCCCCTCTCATCAACAAAATGGGCCTAAGTGCTTAACTACAAACCAACGTCGATTATTTCCTCCGCCCCCTAATTTATGGCAATTTATATCCTACACCACGGCGTACATTGCACTATGCGCCCAGATGCAAAACGACGTCGTTTTAATTATTTTTTTTTTTGAAATTTCCCGCCCCAGTGAATGGCAGTAGGCTTTTCTTTAAAAAAAAAACCCGCTGTTCAAGAATGTACATAATGTTATACTTGAATACACATAATGTTATACATGAATACACATAATGTTATAACAAAATATACATACTCTTTTTAAAAGATAATACACATAATCTAACATAATACATAATAAACATAAACTTTTAACATAATACACATCAACTCTTAACATAATACACACAAATTTTCTGATTCGGATGTACATAATTGTATAAAAAGAATGTACATAATTGTATAAAAAATACACATAACTGTATGAACGAATACACATAACGTTGTGAACGAATACACATAACGTTGTGAACGAATACACATAATCTCAGCAACTTCCTACCGCGCCTCCCAACACGACCCCAAAACGACGTCGTTTTAGGAGGCGCGCGGCACACAGTGCTATGTGCGCCGTGGTGTAGGATATAACGATTGCCAATTTATTCACTACAAATATAATTTTACGTCAAATAATATAATTTTTTGTTTTATTAAAAATAAAAGTAAGAGGTCTTATGTTGATAAATAACATTTACTGTGCATTTTGCATGCTATTTAAATTCAAATAACTTGCATAACTATCATTCAAAAAATTTCGGCTAAGGTTGACCTGAAAGTTTATCAAAATGACTAAATATAAAAAGTTAAAAAATAAAATAAAAAATAAAATAAAAATAAAAATAAAAATAAGAGGACAGGTATGCATCAATTGTGGAAAGCTTGATAATTAAGAATTAAATGTGAGAGATTTATAATACTCGGAAGACCAAAATGTAATTTAAAAAAAAAAATAAAAAAATCAACTGAAGTGTATTAGATGTAAGAGAGTCTCCCTTTTAAAAATTTAACTTAAATAATTTATATGTTTGACAGTTAATTGCATCATTACTCACATTCTCGGATAGTGACTGCAGATTTGTAATCATCTAAAAGAATAGGCTTCACTTTCAGCTGGTGTTTGATTATTTGAAGATAATATGAGTTTCTAAGTTGCTCTCTTTATAGAGGTCTTGAATAAGAGTACATATAGCTTATGATCCATTGAGAAATATATGAAGCCACCTAAAGAATGTGTCACAAAAGACCCAAAACTGCTCCCTACTATACAGTGCCAGGCTGCTCCGTATACCCCATCAAATTCCTGCATGCAATTCCCAAACATATATTATCCATCAATGTCATAACTCAGATAGATCAGCCCAAATCTCAAAATCTGGAATCCAAATTCACAGCCCAAAACCCAAATTTGAAAGTTGAGAGTGGGATGTGTTTTTTAAGGTGTAAATCAATTGTTAAGTACTAACAATACTCATTACAACTAGGCATATATACATGATTGTATTAGATACGCTCGCATGGGTAGCTCAATTGGTCATAGAGGTGAAACTTTGGAATAATGACCAGGGATCGAGTCTCACCAGTGGCAGTGAGGGGCTCTTTGTGCTTAGTGAGCACCGGTCTTAATCCAATTATTATATTGTAAACCATGATCCACATTATTCATTTATGATCAATTATTAAATGAAAAAATTTTAGAGCTCGATTCATAAACAAACAGAGCCTATATTGTAAACCATGATCCACATTATTCATTTATGATCAATTATTAAATGAAAAAATTTTAGAGCTCGATTCATAAACAAACAAAGCCTGAACAGTTGTTGGCTCGTTTGTTAAGAGCTCGTGAACAAGCTGGTTTGATGTTCGTTTAATAATATTTACGAATAAGCTCGTTTAGTGTTCGTTTAATAATGTTTACGAACATGTTATATATATAGTTCTTGTGTTGTTATTTGGTTATTGTTTGTGAACATAAATTATTTCTAGTTCGCGAATGAATTGTGATCATGAACATGTGCATGTGTTTGGTTATTAAGTGTTCATGAACATGTTCACGAACGTGTTCAAAAACGTTAATGATATCGAACAAGTTCGTGAATGTGTTCATTAATTGACATGTTCGCGAACATTAACGAACACTAATGAACGTTTAACAAACGAACACAAACAGAATTTTCAAAAACATTAACCAACGAACACGAACACAAACATTTCAAAAATTTCAACAGACAAGCACGAACAACCTCCGTTCATTCATGTTCGGTTAGGTAACAGGCCTAACGAACATATAGAAATTACATTAATGATGTATTAAATCATAAATGATTAATAAATTTAAAAATTGTAAACCAATATTGAAGGAAAATATGATTACCTTTTTGAGGGTGAGAGCAAGGGCCTTAGGAGTGAAGTTTTGCAAAGTATGATATGCGTTTGTGGCAAAATTGAGAGCATGAATCTGCATTAATGGCGGCATGTCCACTGACACAACCTTCACATTATTACTGTTGTGAGGAGAGAAGAGATGAGTCGTCAACTCATTAATCTCACACTTTTCCTCATTCTTCTTGGTTTCATCACTGCTCTTCTGCTGCGTTGCTTTCTTGGGGAAGGCCAAAGCTACTGCGCAAGAAGAGTGGATAACACTTGAAGGTGGAGTAGTTGCAGAGAGGGATTTGTGTTCGGAGACGGTACGGATGATTGTGGGATCTGGGGGTGGTGCGCGGCGGTGCTGGGCGCCGCCGCCGGAGGATTTGGTTTGGTGCATTGAATGGATCCAATAATGCACCTAACTTGTGCCTGCAATGAGAAGTAATCTGTTCCATATATATTGCTGTGTTGAGCTTTATACATATAAAAGAGTTAATACCCGATTTGATTCTTGACTGTAGTAATTTTTTCAATTTAGTTTTAAATAACTTAGATGATTTTATTCAATTTAGTCATTTATTATGATAGTTTGATAATTTCACATTTATTAATACTCAATTTAATCATTAGTTATAGTGATTTTTTTTATTTGGTCCTTAATTCTAATAATTTGAAGATTTAATTAAGTAAAATCATCAAAATAGATGATCTAATTAAGTATAAAAAGTCGTTTAGGACTAAATGAAAAAAAATATTACATAGAGTGTTAACTCTATATATAAACCTGAAGTATATCTATGAATTTAAATTTGATAGCGGGCGGTGGAACGGGCAAACAGCGCTTTCCCCTGGGGCCTGGAGCTAGTCCGTAGGTCACGATACATACTACTACACTACTTAAAGTATTGCTGATTATAAATTGATTACTATAAAATACTTAATTTGTGTTTTTAATATCAATTTAATTTTAATATGTTATTATGATAATGCTTACTATTTCGTCAAAAGTTACATAGTCTTAAATGACTTATTTTGGTACCACTTATTAAAACCAAACACTAATTAAAGTTAAAAGTTATAGTTAGTAACGATGATGCAACTTTATTTCCTTACATTTTCGAAAGATATGATGCTAGACTTGACCCTTCAGGCCTTCATCTAACATTCTTCTAACCACATGGTGTTGAACTTGACTAACTTTAGTGGCCTTCGCTCAACAAAGTCAAACACGTTTAAGTGCTTAATCACAAAGATTGTCGGCTATCTGGTTGTCATGTCTTACTTAAAACCAATGTGTAATAAATAAGTGAACATTAACCATTTAACCACATCCTTATGATAAGTCACAACATTAGATATCATAAAAGAGACACATTCTATCTTATTCACACTCCATAGATAGAGCCCAAAATATTTCAAAAGTCCAAATATCATGCATTATATATATATATATATATATATATATATATATATATATATATATATATATATATATATAAAGAGTCAACACCCGATTTGGTCCTTGATTATATTAATTTTTTTTTTTTTCAGTTTAGTCTTAAATGATTTAGATAGTTTTACTCAATTGAGTCATCTATTAAGATAGTTTGGTAATTATTTCATATCTATTAATATTCAATTTAGTCATCTATTATAGTAATTTTTCTTGATTTAGTCTTTGATTCAAACAATCGATGATTCAATGAATAAAACCATTAAATTTCAAAGGTCTAATTAAATACAAAAAGTCATTTATTATTAAATAAAAAAAATAACTAGATTACATTGAGTATTAACTATTTAACTGTATATATAAAGGTGAATTATATCTATGAATTTAAATTTTATAGCGGGCGGTGGAACGGGCAAACAGCGCTGTCCCCTGGGGCCTGGACCCTGGAGCTAGTCCGTAGGTCACGATACTACTCCACTACTTAAATTATTGCTGATTATAAATTCATCATTAGTATAAAATACTTAATTTTTGTTTTTAATATCAAACATTCAAGCCAAAAGTTATAACCTATACTTAGTAGCCAAGATGTAACTTTATTATTTTCTTATATCGTCACATTTTCCAGAGGCAGGATGCAATTATTATACAGGTGCACCAGGGCGCACATAGCAATGTGTGCCCCGTGCCTCCTAAAACGACGTCGTTTTGGTAAGTTCTGTATTTTTAGGTATAAAATTCTGTGCATTTTATTATATAATTTTGTACATTCAAAACATGAGAATTTTTATTTATAAATTCTGTGTTTTCAGGTATAAAATTTTGTGCATTATATTATATAATTCTGTACATTCGAAACATGAGAATTTTCAGTTATAGAATTCTGTGTTTTCAGGTATAAAATTCTGTGTTTTTAGGTATAAAATTTTGTGTATTCTATTATACAATTCTGTACATTCGAACATGAAATATTTTTTTTAAGGAGTAAATTGTGCACCCTGGTGCACGGTATAATTTGTCAGGCAAGATACTAGACTTGACCCTTCAAGCTTCCATTCAACATTCTCCGAACCACATGGTGCTGAATTTGATCAACTTTAATGGCCTCCGCCCAACCAAGTCAAACATTTGTTTTAAAGAACATATAAAATATATTTTTAGCCAAACCATCAATTTTCTTGTAGAAATATTTATTCATATATATTGATGGATCTCAATCGTGTGACTGTTGTAATTCAAGCACGTTTAACCACATAATGTTTTGGCTATTTGATTGTCATATCCTACTTAAAATCTTGTGAAAAGTATGTAGACATTAACTATTTAATCACATCCTCCATGGTGAATCATGACCCCACGTGAGCAGGGGCTATACTTTGGTGAACACAACTGCCAACACATATCATAAAAGAGACACATTCTATCTTATTCTCGCTCCATGGATAGAGCATATAAAAATATTTCAAGTCATAATATAATGCATTTTTATCATTTTGCTCACAGTTTACGCACAGAAATTAAACTTACAAACTTAGTAGAAAAATTTCAAATTTGAAAAATCTATTATTAGAGTATCAAAAATAAAATTAATTTTAAATTGAGACAAAAACAAATACACCGTACATTAATAAGCCGTTTGGTAGATTTTGAATTTTTGGAGCTATGAATTTGACTGATGAGTGCATGTGCACTGTGCAGCCAAAGACAATGGGAGACCTCCATGGACTAATTTTTCTCCAAATTTCTTCAATCCAACTACATTGTGTTTGCAAAAATATTTTTTTTTTCAAGATTCATTTGTATTTTAGTTTTCATCATTTTAACTATGTGAAATCATGAATTCTATAAAATACATGCATTGTTTTATCAGCATATAATTTGTTAGAACATCTTCACGAGTTCAATTTTTTGGATGTGTTTTTAGAGTCAAATAAGAAAGAGATAGAAGAAAAAAATTAAAAGTAAAAAAAAATTAAAAAAAAATTGTCTGCGTTTTACACAGCCAATTGGCGTCAGGTGCACCCAACACGTACGAACCTGTAGCGAGAAAGCTTTGTTTTCTTTTTAACTTACCGAGTTACCGTGAGTTCCACAAAAAAATTTAAACTTTACAGTAATAATTTTTGTTTTTTTCTCCTCTCACATCTCTCCTCCATACAAAAAAAAATCTTCTAAAAAACATGTATGAATAACAACAGCAATGAAGATGATATTTTAGTTAGATTTAACTTATTAATAATGACACATTTGTTTTTATATATTTATGATGATATTTTAGTTAGATTTAACTTATTAATAATGACACATTTGTTTTTATATATTTATTTTCAAATAGTTTTGGCACCTCAGGGAGGCAGGGCCTGAATGTAACACTCCGTGTTACGGCCTTCAATCCCGGATTAATTATTTAATTAATTCCGTTAATAATAATTAAAAAGGATTTAATTTGGCTAGAATTTCCTTTAATTAATTAATGTGGTCCACCATAGACCATGGACCCTTGTCACTAAACCAATCCCTCAATCCTATAAGAAATAGAATTAACAAACACATACCATTTAGACCCTAATTAGGACTCTTAGATATATAAATAGGGACATAAGAGGCACCTAGAAAACACACCACAATAGATATCACCACACAAGAATTCCCAAGAAATCTCTTATCACCAACATAGGAGAAATCAAGAAGAGGAGATCTTAAAGAAAGACCCTTAATAGCCAAGGAATTTAATTAAGGCTAAGAGGTAACTCATATCTCAACAAAACCTATTTTCTTCGCTATAATCTTCTTCTTTGGCTCCTTCTCTATGCTTGTGTCTTGATAAATCGTTTATGATGATGATGATATGATCTTGATGATTGATGGGATGATTTTATGTGTTGATCTTGATAATCTTGATGATTATAAGAGAATCTTGATAATTGTGTGATGTTCTTGATAAATCTTGATGTTCTTGATTTTAAAGATAAACTATAATTTGATTATTTGAATATGATTAGAGCCTTAGGATAAATTGGGGATTTCGTATTATGATATTCTTGATATAATTGGGTGGGATTTCGCATGTTCGGGTGTTATTTATGTTTAGAAGTCATGTTAGGATATTTTCAATATGATTCTTGGTTTTGATCCATTATTTGACTACGTGGTGTCATCGTTTGCGTTTAAAAGTGTCTAAACATGGTTCTGGGTTCCACGAAAGATCCCTGGACCAAAATATTGAAAAAGAGTCAGTGGGGAGTAGGTGGGGGTAGGGGTACCCGCCACCTACCCGCTGCCCAATTTGCGCATCCCCGGCAGCGGGCAGACGCTTGCCCGCCGGCCACCCGCTGGATTGTTCCCACCTTGGGATTTTGGCTTCCCCGTTTGATGTTCTCCGATCCTCGTGGTGTCCCGACGGACTCCGTTTATCGTGCCTAAATCTAGTTTGATGTTCAGGTACCATTCGTAGGATAAAAGAGTCTTATGTATTGCATGCTAGTTGAATTGGTATCTCATTGGCCTAGGTGAAAGATGTATGAACCCCTTAGGACTATTCCTAGTATGTGGATGACCACGCATAGGTTTCATTATACGTTTTCTCCCCTTTCCCAATGTGTTAATGTGGGTTGCATGTACTTGCTATGTGTTATGTGTGCATGATACCCTAATTTGGTTGCGATCAAATTGGCTATATGGGCAGTTGGATGGGTTGAGAACCATACCAACTGTTAACCAGACCGGTTGCGATTGGTCAGGTATATAAATATTATATAGGGCTGCAGTCCACCGACTGAGCTCGTCAGCGGTGTATCGGGCTGCAGTCCACCAAGTGGGCCTCATGGGCTGTAGCCCACCGACTGAACGTGTCAGCTTGTGTAGGGCTACAGCCCATGAGAAAAGGCCATAGTCCACCGACTGAGCTCGTCAGCGGTGTGTAGGGCTATGGTTGGCTGCGATCCACCG